CACTTTAGCACTCTCCACAGACGCCCCAAAATCGATACTTCCTAAAGTCGGAACGCTCTATTGTGTCTCCACCTCCGTTACCAACACGTCCTTCAGTCCCTCATGGAAGTGAAGGCAGAACTGGAGGCGGTGTTTCCAGACCCACCACTGGCACTCTAGCCTCCTCCTTGAACAATTTTGAATCATCAAACAAAACTGATCTAATAGATGTGAGTGATTGGACTCCTTTATCCATTCTTGTCCTCTGAAGTTGCTTCTTTAGGCTACACTTTCACTGTAATCGTGCAAGCACGAAAAGACAGCCTCAAATGCGAAATGTGTCTTCAACTACTTCTGCAAGTACTATCCACTTACCTTTCCTTTTTGTTTTACAAGTCTCCACAGAAGCCTCAAATTCGATACTTCCTAAAGTCGGAACGTTCTATTGTGTCTCCACCTCCGTTACCAACACGTCCTTCAGTCCCTCAAGGAAGTGAAGGCAGAACTGGAGGCGGTGTTTCCAGACCCACCACTGGCACTCTAGCCTCCTCCTTGAACAATTTTGAATCATCAAACAAAACTGATCTAATAGATGTGAGTGATTGGACTCCTTTATCCATTCTTGTCCTCTGAAGTTGCTTCTTTAGGCTACACTTTCACTGTAATCGTGCAAGCACGAAAAGACAGCCTCAAATGCGAAATGTGTCTTCAACTACTTCTGCAAGTACTATCCACTTACCTTTCCTTTTTGTTTTACAAGTCTCCACAGAAGCCTCAAATTCGATACTTCCTTAAGTCTGAACGCTATGCTGGCTCTTCGCCTTCGACACCACCGCGTCCCCCAGGAACTCGTGGTAGATGCGAAGGCGTGACTGTACATCACCTCGCCTCACCTTTGCTTGCCTCGGCACCTTTACCATCAACACCTCCACCACCTCCACCTGTCTCTGCTCCTCCACCACCACCACCACCACCATCACCGCCACCTCCGTCCATTCAGCCGCATCTCACTGTGCCATCGATCACTCCGTCTGGAGGTGATGCTTCCAAAGATGATACCTCCAAGCCTACCACCGGCAATTCCTTTTTGGATGACATCAGATCTTTTAATAAGACCAATCTAAAAAATGTGAGTTACTGAACTCCTTTTACCCCCATTACTTTTAAGAAAATACACTGTGACCTTTTAAATGCTAAAAAAAAACATTTAAAGTGTGGAGCTTCCAGTTGTTCCAAACCACCGCATCAAAATGCGCCGTTGAAAGTGAATGTGCGATGCCCAAAATTGTGACACCGAAGCGCCGCAATTTGTGATTAGTGGAAGCCTCAAACCAACCTTAAAACTCCAGCATACGAGGATCAAGTGGGGAAGAGACAAAAAAAAAGCGTCTTTTTCTACCTCCATTTTCAGGTCAACGCGGAGACATCGGAGACGCGACCCACTGTGGGGTACATGAATCCCCGAGGTCTCGAGAGCACATTAAATAATGCCTTAAACAGCCTATTGGTCCATCAAAGTCAACAAATTGTCGAAGATGAGAATGAGGACTGGGATTAATTGAAACGGTGGTCTCTGCTCTCTTCCCTCCTCCCCTTCTGCTCCCAACAACGATCTGTCCACACTGCGTGCTTGTCCACCCTCGACGGCCCTCCTCGAGCCCTCAAACATGAAGGAGGCTCTGTATACAAAGGTCTTTTTTGTTCTTCCTCTCGCCCTCTCCGCTCCAACTGAAATTTTATTTTATTTATTGTGTCTTAAAATCCGCCCAAAAAGATGCGACAAGACATCCTTCCATTGTCATTATTTGCCTGTCTAGGGAAGAGAGATTGTGATTTAACAAGTCCCTTTTACATGAATGTAAACGAGCTCTTTGGTTTGCTTATTTAAAATTTAAACTTTGCTCTCTCTCTCTCTCCGCTTGTCACCAAGTTGTCAGTTGTCAGCGGTGGAGTTGATGTGGTTTTACTTTCTCAAGTCTTTTCTTTAACTCATGCCTTCAATGTTGTCAAGATTGGGAAGAGATGTGTAACTCGATAAATGCATTCCAATTCTGTCTTTACAACGGACAGTTGGCGCGGGTGCTCGCTAACGTGGGAAGTTGTTTATGCACCTCGTAGGTGACAGGACCTTTCATTTAGACGCGGTTGGCACCGCCTAGCATGACTATTATCATTTCATCAGTGGCCCCGTGGGGCACTGTCGATGGTGCTCATTACTGCCTCCACCCAAAATTCTGCTTGAGAGACTTGAAATTTCGTGTGACAGTGGCATTCCTACGAATCTCTCCTCTTCAATCACTTAAAAGGAGGTCTGACTGGGTGGTTATTGCCAAATAGGCACATCTACCTAATGTTTAATTTGCAGCAGTGGACTCAGTCACGATGTGCGTTTCCATTTGAAATGCATTACAGACTCAATAGCAAGTTTTACTGATTCTTATAAGCTGAAGTGATATCTTGACTACTATAAGTAGCGTACGGTACTTTTTGATTTGGTAATTAAGTGCTAGCGCATGTCATCATATGTTTCCTTTCTCTTAGGCATGAGAAAAAATAAGAGCACGCAATGAACCCCACATTCTCCATCAACTTCAAGAGGGACTGGATTTGATCTATTTTTGATATGAGCTTACATATTATTTGGCTTTAAAGGTGGGGGAGTCTGTTACTACACCACGCAGCGCATGTCGAGGTAATCATATGCTCTGCTCTTTCTACCCTTTAATCTTCCCTTTTATGCCGAAATGATTAGCATTTAGTACCAAGTTGGCCAAAAAGTAAAAACAGAAACATATCTAAGCACAGACGCTTGCAGTACAGTAGCCTGCACATGGTTTAAACACGTAAACGAGTGAGTTAGTAGGAACCCATGCAAAATTAAAACCTAAGTCACACCATAAAAATTCTTCTACTTACATTAAATAAGTAGAAAGTTATGTTGCTCGCTGTCCAAACAAATGGAAACGAGGCAAATTGTGATGGTATGTATGTCTCGGTAAATGCGTTTAAATTTTACTACCAAAGAACCTATAAACTTTATTGTAGCATAACAAAGACCGTCATTAGAGGGCTTGCGGCCATCCCTTTCCAATATGGGCCACTTAGGCCAAATACAAACAAATTAAGCAGATGAGACGCGGAGATTCTATGCAATTTCTCAAGTCATTGCACCTTCCCTTAATCTTAGTACCTCTTTTAGGCGATTATTACGACCTGCTGACTTCATCTTGCACTAAAGGCAAGTAACTACTTTGTTCCAGCAAATACAAACTGATCAGGATGCTCTAGAAATAGTCTAGCTAGAATAACATTATTAGCACCCACTTGCTAGACAAGGATGAAAGAAGTCTACCATCTTCATTAGCTACGGATAAAGTATCGATGGTGGAGAAGCTTGTATGCCCGTTCTTTAAACTTTCGACAGTGTGGGAACAAATTAGGAGAACTGCAGTTACCACGACAATGCATTCATCCGCGACGACTTACTCGTTGCGAGCACTGCAAGAAGACTGGTCATGCGCGAAACGAGGGACAATGACTTAGATAGTGGGAACAAAGACTGCCTTCTTAAATTTGGCATAAGGAAGTCAAAGCCAAACAGGAAGCATGGCTATCAGTTTGACTTTTAATAATCAAATACGAGTAAGCCATTCTCCTGTCCCGTAGAGTTAGTTCCTCCCAACTAACATCAAAGGTGATGCAGATGGTCAAAAGTGCGGTTGTCAAGTAGAAGAGCGAATCTGATTGATGCTTTTGACAAGTGAAATTGTAACTTCTGATTGAGTGCCTGATTTTTCGTTTTCATTTAAAACGCGAGGACATTTGAAGTGCCAATTTCCCTTTCCACTGCCTGCCAGAACTCACACAATGCCCTTAACCCTGTTTAACTCTCTGCGCATCAAATGCCTCTGCCTCCATTACGCGTCTTGTGAGTCAATTAGAGATTTACAAAAGTTCACCTGGGTGGTGCCCATTCCCGCCTCTTCCCACATTTGACTGACAAGTCGGATTGCCTGTTGTCGCTCAAACAATTGTTATTATTGCTTTCCTAAGTGTAAGCTAGCTAGGCATACCAAAGACGGCAGGAATCCTCCAAAACCGATGCTGCATACAATACGATTTTTACCACAATTTAGCCTAGAGGAGGCTGGCATTTGTAGAATACTTCACTGTAATTTACCGCGTCATTGTCATATGACATCGTCCTCTAAGGAGAGTTTCTCCCACTTCCGCCATATTTGCTCGGCTCCCTTGCTCGCCGACCTCGTCTCCTCAACTGTTGGCATGGCTGAGGACGTCCTTAGCCTTCCATAAACTAAATCTGTATCGGGTTCGGAGCTCTGCGGGGTTCTCCCGTGCGCTCAGTAACAGCGCACCTACTGTGTCGCTATCCGTGGATGGTAGTAAGGGTCTCCGCGACGGAGCGTCCGCATTGCCATGAGAGCTTCCTTTCCCATATTCCACTATAAAATCACATTGTTGCAGCTCCTCGTACCACCTTGCAACCGAGCGGTCGATTTCATTCATCGTCTTCAACCATGTCAACGCTTGATGTTTCGTCCTCACAACTAACTGCTTTCCCATCAAGTAGTGCCTAAAATGTCTGACCGTTGTATAAATAGCGAAAAGTTCCCGTTCCGCTACAATCTTCTGTTTCATCTTTTGGCTGAGACGTGAGTTGGCACACGCGATTCCATGTTCTCTCCCGTCCTTGTCTTTCTGGGACAGCACTCCGCTCACCGCCTCATCGCCTGCGTCTGTGTCCAGCACAAAAGGAGGGGCCTCGACACTAAAGTTTGGTAAAGTCAAGATTCGTGGCACGCAGAGAGCACGCTTCACCTCCTTAAACGCTTCCGTGGATTCGTCTTCCCAGCGAAACTCCTTTTTTGCCTCTTTCTCGGTCAAGCTGTATAGGGAACTTGCGATCTTGGCGAACCCTTTTACAAAACGTCGATAATAGTTAGCCAAACCAAGGGAGCTGCGAAGTTGCGTTTGATTTGTAGGTGTCGGCCAAGTCCTCACTTCTCTTCTTCTGTCTTCCGTTACCGCCGCCCCATCTGCAGAAATGGTGTGCCCCAGAGACGTGACCGAGTTTTGGAGGAAACTGCATTTCTTCAGATTCAGCGTCAGACCTGCCTACCGAAGGCGACTCGGTACTAATCGGAGGTTGGAGTTGTGTTGTTTGCTGTCTCTCCCGAACACGAGAATGTCGTTCAGATAGATAATGCAGTGTTTTGGGAATAAGCCACGTCGCTGGAAGGTGGCTGCCGCGTTGCAAAGCCCAAAAGGCATCGTTTGGAACCCATATAGTCCATTTGGCACAGTGAAGGCTGTTTTTTCTCTATCCTTCTCCGCTACCTCCACCTGCCAGCAACCAGACTTCAGATTCAACGTCGACAACCACTTCGCTCCTTGCAGAGAGTCCAACGAGTCGTTAATGTGGAGCAGAACGAACGCGTCCTTCTTTGTTACTGCATCAAGTCTCCTATAATCGACGCATAGACAGAGGCTGCCATCACTCCTTTTAACCAATGCGATGGAGGAAGCCCAGGGGGACTGGCAGGACCTGATAACGTTATCGCGCAGCATCTCATCAATTAATCGGCGTACTTCGTCTTGGAGAGGTGGCGGTGTACGTCTAGGCGGCTGCCAGGCCGGTTTGGCCTCAACAGTATTGATCCTGCGTTTGACTATGTTTGATCGTCCACATCAAACGAAATTACATTTCCCCCCCAAACAGTAGATATTATTGGTGGTGAGGGAGAAAATATGGTGTTGTCAACCTATTGTTATTACACCCAAGAATGACACCTAGGCTTGGAGCCAATAGCCAGAACTGACGATGGCAGTCCACATTGTCAGCAAAGGGGGTTTCGATTTGTTGCTCCGCACTAGAAGACTTGATGTTAGAGTAAAATTTGCTACTCTAATCAGTCAGTAAAACGACTGACACCTGTGAAATTATTCAAGGGCAATTGAGCAAACGAGTGTCATCAAAAAAAGTTTCTTCCCTCACCACCATAATATTCACTGCTTAAGGGGAAATGTAATTCCGCTTGATGATGTGGTAAGGCAAGTGGAGAAGAATGGGAAGGGAGATAGAGTTGGCAACACCACATCACATGCTGCAGAAATAGTCGTAAGAGTTGGGACGAAGGTAGAGTAGACGAGGAGGGAGTGCGAGCGGGTGGGCAGAGGAGAGTGGAAGAGAGGGAGGAAGGGAGGATGAAGTGAGTGATGTGGAGCATGTGGAATTGTGAAGAAGGTAGTGGATTGGCCATGGCTGCAATCCCATTGGCTGGCAGAGGGAGAGGACTCCACAAAAGCACGCATTTAAACGCACATACGCATTCACTTAAACAGACATACGAGAGAGTGAGGGAGGATGTGTACACGTCTTTGCTCAACGGACATACGTAACTCACACATACACGCAGACGGATAGACAGGCATAACATAGCACACGTATGCTCGCATGCTTGCATGCACGCACGCACGCTTGCATGCACGCACAGAGAGATCGCAATAACCTCTCACATGTGTGTGGTGTGTGTTGTATGGAGGGTGCGCACTCACACGTGAAAAGCGATAGTGCTAGGAGCTACTACAGATATCACCATTGGTGCAATTGTCAGGTTTAATTCGACAATCCTGCCACCGCACCCACACTTTGTGATGCCCCCGTGATAAATGCGTGAAAGGACGGGCTCAGTCGGTGCAGTTTCAGTGGTGTGTACACGTAGCAGTAGCAGCAGCGGTAGCAGCAGCAGCAGCAGCAGCAGCAGGAGGAGGTGGAGGAGAGCACCGGGCCTGATCTCGGGATCATCCGTCCTCCTCGTTGCCATTATTGTGGTGGGATGTGCGCAGGTGGGCATCGCCTCCGCGACCTCGGGCTTCTCGGATATCCTCATGGGCACGTCGCGCTCCTTTCCACCCAGTGGCGATGCTCCCAACTCCTCGGTGTGTCGACATGCTCTCAAACAGGTGCCTGGACACGCAGCAAAATGCAACATCTCGCGCGACTTTCGTGGATGTCGTTTCGACTCCGGATTTATCTCCTACCTCGAGTTCCAGTACTGTCAATTCGCCTCACCAGTGTTGCCCACCATTCTCATGGTACGCGCGTTTACATTACTTGATCAAAGGTTAAACATCCGCCTAGCCTTGCAACCCTCTTGTCTGCCTATGGCCCAGCCATCCACACCAACTCACAGTCCTACTGAAGTGGTGTGCACCTCTGCCATCCTGACACTCCACAGTAGTCGTTGTTGACGGTGTCCCAGCATCGGATGCTTTGCTGTAGGTGGAGTAGCAGACAGCTGAGGTGTGATGTGAGATGTGTAAAATTGTGCATTATCGCGAGATCACGTTTGCCTCACAGTGGCAGCCTCCTTCTGGTGTCACCGACCATCCAATTAGTCCTGTTGTTCACTTAAAGGGGGCAGAAGGCGGCTTGATGTAGATGGGTGTGCTTTAGACACCGCGAATGATGTTGCTTTGTTGCTTCGATTCATACACCTTCATGGAATAGTGGTGAGATGTGTGGGTCAGCAGGTTGGTGATGTGCCGCATCTTGGATGCGACACATGAGCAAGGCTTCGAGGTGACGGTCAAGTTGTTGCGGTGCTTTATTTCGAAGTGGGTACCGAAGTAATCCCACTACTGCTCCTCATCTCTTGTCACGCTTGAGTGTGTCGACAGGTGTTGGAGTTGGTGGCTGCTCGTTGACGCCACCCATCCTGGTATGAGGATGAGGCGCACCCTATGCTCACTTCTCGACCACCTGACGTGCATGTTAGCACGTCTGTCACCACTCTCTCCCCCACCGTCATGGTGGACGACGCCCTTCGAGGCAGTACTGCTGCGACTTGAGCGGTGTCTTGCAAGACACGTCAATCCGTGATGCGCGTCCACAAAGTTGTTGTAAGCAGGCTAAGAGTGAGGAGGATGATGAATGCTATTCGCATGATGTGAAGTCAATGAGAGTCGGTAGTGACGAAGATGGAGAGCTGTAGAGGCGGAGGTTGTAGGGACGAGAGTGTCGGAAATGGTAAATGGTGTAGAGGGTGGTAGCGGTAAGAGGTGCATTAGGCGAAGGTCTGTGAAGCCTTGGAGATTGGAGGGAGGTGGAGTAGGTGGTGGCCGTAATGGCGGGGTGAGGTGTGAGACGGGAGTCAGAGGGAGAGGGTGCTATGTGTCAGATGAGCTTTTGCACCAATTTTGTGATTTATGTCCTACGTGTTTGCAAACTGTATGCATCAAATTAATGCCGAGGTCGCATTCTTTTCTTCATATATTTTTTTCTGCCTCCCTTTGTTCGCTCGCCTCGGTAGACACGGCGTGCACACGTCAAATTGCCCCAAAACGAGCACAACAGGTTTGCATGTGAAGAAAACAATACGTTCACTAGTGGTCCAGGCACTGATTGCATCAAGAATGGGTGTGTGCTCGCGTGTGTCAAACTCGTGGTGTTCCCTGACAAACTGCATTCTCCTTCTTTCTCTCCTCCTACTCCTCTCCTCTCCCCTCTCTCATTCCAAATTTATGCATTGATGCGAGTAGCCTCCCCTTACTCACCACCACTCCTTCCATCATCGTGCGTGTCCTACACCACTGCTGCTTCTCATGATCTGGAAGACTGGCAGAGGTTGATGTGGTTGTGTGTTGCGACAAACAGCTGGGACACAGGCGAAAAGGATGTTGGAGGGGAAAATAAGTATCATCAATTGTAACTAAGTTGATGCACACAAGTCTGTTATCGTCTGTTTTAGGTCCTGTGGCTGTTTGTGTTGCTGGGAGCTTTCGCCGTCATTGCGGATTCCTTGTAAGTGAGGAGAGGAGGATTGAGTGGGTTGTAGACATTGTCACTGCTCGACCAGGTCGATGGTGACGAGGTGAACTGCTCTTCTGCACGACACTAAATTGTGCATTTCTGCCTCTCACTTTGTTCTCTTTTCAGCTTCAGTCCATCTCTCATTGCATTGGCGCGCTCGATGCACATGAGTCAGAACCTGGCTGTATCCTTTTATCCACCGCTTTCCCTCCTCCATACCTCCCACTCACTCACCCACTCTCCTCCTCCTCCTCCTCCTCCTCCTCCTCCTCCAATTCACTAGCAGTGCACTTATGTTAGTGCCAATCCCTCTAGCTGGTCGCGATGCTTGCATCTATCTGCACAGAGTTCAATCACTATTTGTCAGCACACGTTGTGTTGGTAACTGGCGTGGTTGGCACCTCCACAAGGTGATCAATGCACCTGCTGTAGCAGTAGCTGTAGTAGTAGGAGTGGTGGTAGTGGTGGGCAATGGTATGAATGGCTAGGGACGTCTGTGGTGTGAGCAAGAGGCTACAGTGTGTTGACAACAGCTCAATTTGGTGTGGGGGTCGTAGAACCAATGCAGATGACATTGTTTGCAGCTGTGTTGTGGCTAGTGATTAGACGAAGGTGGTTGTTGTGTGGGTTTATGTCACGAACCACCTCCATCAGCCTTATTACCTTAACTGTCGACTTTGGTGTGAAGGGTGTGACGTTGTTGGCGTTTGGCAACGGTGCACCGGACGTCTTCAGTGCTGTGACAGCCATCACGACGGGTGATCCGGAGGCACCGGATGAAGGCTTGGGACTTGGCTTCCTTATGGGTGAGTAGGCGATAAGTGCTGATGTGTGATGAGGGCGCCTTGCAACGCCATCAGTGAGCTGCTTCCCTCCTCCTCCTCCTCGTCCATTATTACTAACCTACAGCGTGCCCGTCTCTTCCCTCTCACCCCTCTCTACAGCTCCCTTTGTGTCATTTGTACTGAAAATGTTGCACTGCAGTTGAAGAGGAAGTAAGCTTGCGGTTGCAATGATAATAGTGACGATTGGTGTGACAGAAGCCTGCATGTATGTGGATAGCCACACATGTAAATGCGATGAGATCGGTGGGTCGCACCACTCATTGGCGACTGCTAAAAGCAGTCATTAAGGGAGGGTGTGTCGATGTAGGCGGTAATTCCCTCGAGTACACCAACGCTAATAAATAGAGTGGCTCCTCCTCCTCCTCCTCCTCCTCCTACCTCACTCACTGGCCTTCTTTCCATGCACACGTCCGTAGGGAGTGGAATGAGAGGTGCTTTGTGTTTTGCTAAATTAGGATCGGGTCTGCTGGTAAACACAGTGACGGCGGGTTTGATCATGATCATTCGACCCTTCACAACCAATCGTCGTCCCTTCATCAAGGACGTCCTCTTCTACATGACTGCTGTGAGTTGGAGTGCTGCAATTCTCATTCGTCGGTCAATTCATCTCAGCGACTCCATAGGTTAGTTGGTCTCCCCTTGTGTCTCCTTCATCGCTCTTCCTCTTTTTCCCCTCCGTCTTCTCCTTCTTGATATCGTTGTTGTTGTTGTTGCTGTTGTTGTGGCAGGTTCGTACTAAGTTTGGTGGTGTGATGCAGAGATTTGCTGCCTGTTTTAGTAGTGCATCAGTTCATCGGCATCGACTAGCTGCGTCCTCGAAGGCTTTCCGCTAATATTTCACCAATTTGTACACGCGCACGAAACGGTGCTGTTGGTGGAGGTGTCAAAGTTGTGAGGGTCATGTGGTTGTGAGGATGCAATTAACACTTACACAATGCACTAAATCTCCCAGTTTTTGTAGCAAAAGCTCACAGAATGCCGGAGTATGTCTGTCGGATTCAAGCCTCATAAACTGTCGCCTTTTACAGTTTGTATTTTACTTACCTCCTCCTTTTTTATATTATTTACTTTGTCCCGTTTCTTCGGTTTGGACGTTGATAAGTGCGGCACTGTTCTAATGCGCTTACATGCATGACACTATTTAGAATCGCATCAAGTAATAATGCTTAAGTTAACG